AATATTATTCTATTAAACTCTCAGTACAGAACATTAATAAAGAATATAGATTCTAAAAACAAATGGAATGTCGCAACAACACTTTAGTAGGCTCACAACACTTCTTTAACATCATAAATCGATTAAGCATCAGTTCGAAAAAACTCAAGAAATATTTGGCTGCAAATACCAACTGGCGGGAAGATCTAATCGAATACAGCCTGTCTATTGAAATCGTCTCTTCTCAAAATTTAAACCAACTTCCATAGTCAGCAGGATACAGCAACTCAACATCTTTTGCACATTCATTACAGTTATTGCAAGCTCTGTTAAGATTAAAACAGAGTAATTAATTTCCTTTCATTACATTTAAACTCAAGACATAGCTATAATGTCTCTCGTATCTGGACTGTTTTTATTGTTAAATGATTATAATATAAGGTTTTTCACATCCAGCTACAAAGCTACCCTTCTCTGGATATTCAAAATTCTGAAAGGCACACATTTTAAGATAGCTATGAGATTATTCAACTCATTCAATATACTATATCTCAAGAAATGATTTTTAATTGTTTGAATGTTTATTCAAAACTTTGGCACCTGTAACGAATGGTTCCAGCTAATTCCCATTAAAATTCAGGGCTCATCCCCTGCTGTGATAACAGCGCATATAGCCCATTGTACAGCTTTACGCTAAACAAACAAGCATCCAAATGAACAATCGTGTCTCATCTCATTCTAACTTTAACCAGTTACATGTGATGCAAAAACAATAGTATGATACACGTGGAGTTGTTAATATAGCACGTTATATTTTCAACCTAGTTGTTATATTCTGAAACGATTTATAATACCTGTTAACCCTATATATAATATATTAAATTTTAAATCGTAATGCTTTATTAGATTTTTATGTAAAACTACACAGTAATAATCAGTGATTTATGTATGTTTATTGACTCTGGTCTTACTAATTGGGTATATATAGACTCTATTAACATTTTAAACACATTTTACTAAACTATTTCCGTACCAAGTTGCTTGTGGATCCATGACTTTGTTGTTTATAAGATCTTTAATATCATATCAATCACACAAGAAGCTGAAAACTACTGTGGTCCAGTGTTTATCTTTTGTCATTTTTTTGCTGTGAGCAATGTGATAGGCAAAGACATAAAATTACACAATATATGGACTTTATAGATAGTGAAGAATAAAAAGAAGTCGTAATTCTCGGGTTAAATTTATGTACACTGTATTATTGTATTTTTCAACGTAACAATTAGGATTTGGGTTTAATTTATTAATTTTTATATATTCTCTCGTTGTTTGAACAACATTTTAAAATGTTGCCGTTTACATTTCTTAAAATTAACGAAGGAAATAGTTGTGTAGAAAAATAATAGTAAACAATTTACCATGAAAATATCGTATTATTATGATTTTAGATGGTCTTTTTGTTTAAAAAACATATCGCATACTTGCTAAATTTAATTCACAAACTTACTATTCTCTTGGACATGGGTTTCCAAACCTCCCAGAAGATTACACATCCTATATGATACCCCCACCCCACCTAATGAATCTATTAATGCTGAATGCTTTAACAATATTATGTACTCTGTGTATTTGATAGTCCTTCTGAAACATTCTTGCGGACCTCCGTTGGTGAGCCCCTGCTCTAGGAGTCAATAGATTATTTTTCGTCGAAGATACATAATAGGTTCACTGCTTAACTGGTTTCCATGACCTGCGAACATATTACCTTTGTTTGTGTGTGTGAAGTACTTTAAATCATGAAGCGAAATTTCTAGATAGAAAATACCTGAAAGTTTTTTATTTGACACAGACGACACTTCAGAAAAATTGTTGACTATTTACCCTTTTTCCTTCACTGCTACAATATTCTTAAAATAAGTGTCTAAAACATTACTCATATATATATTCCATTATAATATGTTGAAATTATAGATATCGAGCTTAGAAGGGAGGTAAAATAACTTTGGATATTTCGATTTTTTTAGTCCTAATCTTTGTGGAAACTTGCCAGCTAGAAACTGTTGTCCAGGATGGACGGCAAGACCAGGACTTTATCCATCATTATGTATAGTCCGTAAGTGATTTAGTTCACCGCCATGTCTTCTCATATACTATTATAGATAGAAATAAAAATTCCTTTTTTCTTGTAATAATGGATTCATGTATGTGGTGGGTACAGTTAATGATCTTGCCAATCATGTATAACATTCTCACCCTAATTTCTCATTCTCTGTAGAAAATCCTGCAGACTCTTTACCTTTCTGAACTTCAAGACTGTTGTTTCAGACAATGACGTCATTGCTTCAGTCCATTACACACCTACAGACTCTCTACCTCTCTGGACATAGACTTTTGTTTTAGATGATGGCATCATTGCTTCAGTTCACCACAAACTTACAGACTCTACCCTTCTGAACTTCAAGACTATTATCTCAGGCGATAGTGTCATTGCTTCATTCCTTTACAAATCTCCAAATTCTCTACCTCTCAACATCAGTTCTATTATTTCAGATGATGGCATCATTGCTTCAGTTCACCACAAACTTACAGACTCTACCCTTCTGAACTTCAAGACTATTATCTCAGACGATAATGTCATTGCTTCATTCCTTTACAAATCTCCAAATTCTCTACCTCTCAACATCAGTTCTATTATTTCAGATGATGGTATCATTGCATCAGTTGATCACAAACTTACAGACTCTGACAGTTTCCTTTTTTATAGATTTACATATTCTCAATATATATAAAAAAATATTTCTCCTTCACAAGCTTCATGTTTACGAATGTTACGTAGTAATGGCGAAAATTTTGCCACTATGCTGAAGAATTATCTATTTTATTCAGAACTAGAGATTATCCTGAAAACATTATCCAGCTAATCTAAGACTTAATACATTCCAACCTGTAAGCCAGTCAAACAAGAACAACAGTTACTGTTATTCTTGCTTACTACCACCTGTCTCCACAGGCTGTTAATATTATGAGAAACCGCTATCGCATTATATTGGATAATCCCTAACTTAAAAATGTTTTACCTATTCTCCGTTGACCTCGTACACAAATAATAATAACCTGACTCTATTCTGATCCGCAGCACACTGATAAAACCAGTAGATCTTCGTACTTTTCCTTGCCATACACATTTTTCTTCCTGTAAATTATTCTGTAAAAGAACCTTCAGGTATCTACCATATTAAATGTCATTCTATCTCTGTTTTTGTATGTCTAGTGTATTTCTATTATCCTACTGTTTATGTCGATCAGACTGACCACCGACTAGATGAATATTTACTTCACTTTAAAACCAGCAATACTGAAAAATTCGTTATTCTTATTTTCTATCAGTGGACTGCCTATTCATGTTATCTTCCAACAGTCAAAGGAAATTATAACAGTCAGGGGCGCAAACAATGTTGCATTATCCACCTTGTGGGTAGCCTTGCCCGACAAGGTTTCAAACACCAAATTTATCTTATTTTATTTTATTCTACCACTTTCTGTAGTTATTAATGTTTCAAATTTATATATTCTTACTCTTCTATCTAAATTTTATTTCTATATTTGTTATTTGTCGTTTTCATTAGTTGCTTGCTATATTTCATGTATTTTATTTTTCATTATTGACCTTCTTTCTTTTCTCTCTCTCTCTCTCTCTTCATTCCATCACACACATTCACCCACCCCTTGTTGGTTTCTACCAACGAAGAATCTTCTTCAGTTTCTTCTATTTTCTGCTTCAGGACTCTTACACTTTATTCCTACTAACTCTCCCAGTATAGGTCATTTGGCCAAAATGTTGACCACTTAATGCATTTTTTCCTTGCAGCGAATTTAAGTTTTCGGGTTTTATCATACTTTAGCTGTATTTGTCTGCTATTCATGTTACTTTTTAACATAGTTAATAATCTTGAATCATGTTAGGAATTAAGAAAACCAATAACTGAATAATTTTTAAATATTTTATGAGTATGGATATATTTTGATCAATACATCTTGCTAAGATATATTTATTATGTATGTGATAATAATCGTTCTTACAAAAAGTAGAATTTATAATTTTCAAACTTACACTTATTGGCCACATTATTAACACCACACCTGACATCGAGCTACATCACATGTTACCACGATAATGGTCTGTATTCGATGTAACATAGACTTCATAAGATACTAGAAGGTGTTTTATTCGACTGTATCCCATTTGTCAAGGACCTTAACCTGTAACTGGCTCATGGATGTAGACATTAAAGATCATCCCAAGTGTGTTTAATCGAATTGAGAACCAGTTATTGTGTTGGTCAAGGTATCTCACTGGCACACTCTTCTAATCAATTTGGCTATTTATCATGCATTATTATTGCATTAAGTTAATGCAATGATTTTTTTTTCACTGTTGAAAATGTCTTTTTTCCGTCTGAGTGGCAATGTAAAATAGTAGGTGGATGTAATTGGCAACAATGTTCATGTGCACTTTGAATATAATTCGACCTCCTAAATGGATCATATTACCCAATCATCTCAGCGTTATATCACATTCAGCATCTTGTATTAGCGGAATGGCACAAACAGAGCAAAGTGTCTCGAGTGGTTTCTTGATATTCTACTCAACTTCCAGTGCAAAAAAGGGGTGAAATGCGACTCATCAGACACATCACGTTTCAATTTCATTTATTGTCCACATTTTGGGTTCTGAGCACCTCTTAGCCGTGTTTTCTTATTTGCAATTTTGGACTGGCAGATAAATGTCATATGAAATTTTTTGTGATGTCTTTTTCAGGATAGAAATTAAGGTAGTCGAATTCTAATCACTATGAATGGAACCGGTCAATCGGGACAAGTACTGCACTTTACAGTTCAGTCAAATTGTCTTCTGGACTTTTTCCCTTGTATGTCACCGGTCTCAGTTTTTATTTGTTTTTCGTTGTTGTTTTAGAAAGGGTGGAGACAGATATATTCCATTTCAATTGCCACAATTTCATAGATCGTGACAACAGATGTCTTTAAACAGCTAGTTAAAGGAATGGTCTTTGGTTATATGTTCCTAGACAGGTATTCATTCTCATGGTACAATGAAAGTCAAGCGGTTTTTACCCATTGCTTCTCACTCTAACGATGATATAATTACATCTCTATATTTTAGGGTCCAAGCAATCACTTGCTATATAATTTGCAAACAAATGTAATAGTGTTCTACATATGTGGCCAATCAGTGTAATAACATAATAACATTCAAATATTTTTTCATATCAGCAGTTTACAATAACTAAATTATCATTATAACATATTTATTCCTCTTCAAACGTATTGGATTTTCTACTACCTTTTGAATGTAAAATGCTCAGCAAAACTAAGTATTTCTACTGTTTGTATAAACTTTGACCTGAAGATGCTTACGTTAAGTTTGGTAATACACGTGTAACTTTCCCATTAAAACATACTTACTTAAAAGAAGAATAAGTAATATTTTCACAATATCCCTAGTTTGTTTTTCAAGTGGTGTTCTATAATTTCAGTGAGAGATTAGTTTTTAATTACATTAACTGTAAGTGAATTGAAATTATTATTATTTTGAGCTACAGATGAAAACGCAATCAAAGTATTTTTGAAAATTTTCATAGTATTGTAATACATACATTGGAAATACATTAGGTAATGCTTGTTTTGTTTTTCTCCAGCAATATGTACAAGGTCTTGTGGAAACGGACGTTGTATTGGGCCTAACACGTGTTACTGTAATAATGGGTCTTTTTCTGCTACATGTACTAGTGAAGAACCTATTGGACCATTTAGTCCAGGTCCGGGTGAACCTGATGGAAATGGAGGGCCTGGATATGTCAAAAATAATGGTCGATATATTCCAGTCGGTCCAGATAGACCGAATGGAAATGGCGGGACTGGAGGTGGCAGAAATAATGGTAGATATATTCCAACGTCTCCTTCTGGTCAGTATACGAAGTAATTTAGTAAGAAATGTGTATCGTACAATATTGATGATTATTGATGAGTATTAAGTTTTTAAATTATATATTATATTTAAGCTAAGCAATTAAAAACTTTGGGATTGTCTATAACCGTAGTGACTATATAGCTTGGAACTGTTTGAAAAGATGTGATTATACAAGTGAAAGTGTTGATATTATAAAAGAGGTCAAGTTTTTACCCTGAAAGTTGTTAGTTTTTAATGAAATCCAAAACGACGTCATACGAGCATGGTATATGTTATTCAAGTATAATGATATCTATTGAAGTAGACACCCTCCATATTTGGGGTAGCAGAAGACTAAGTGCTCGTGGTAATCTATGGTTATCTCGCAAGTCTCGTCCTGTTATTTTTTTTCAACTGACATGTTTCAATCTGTGAAAGTTTATGGTTTTGTTGGCCAAACACGTGGTTGAATGACATTATGTGAAAGGTTAACGATAAAAAACTTTGATTCAGTCTAACATTTAGTGACTAACTTAATATCACAATTTTAATTAATATGCTTTTGCAGTAGTAAATTCCAGGACAAAGAAGAAAAAAAAGCTAGCAACTACAACCAATAAATCTCAAAGTGTTTCGTAATTTTGTAATTTTCAGACTGAAAGAGATAAGGGTGCAGGAATAGTAAGCTAGGGATATTTAACCTTTGACATACAGAATTTGAACGAAAGAAAGTGTGTGTGGCTAAAAAATTATTCACATCAACCAACAATTAGGTATAGAAATATGACCACGTTCTGTATTTTTAGTGTTTTTTTTTTTCTTAATACTCGTAACTCTATTAGATTCAGCTGCAACGGCTAAATATATCTTCTTGTGTCACATATATATTCCACTTACTTCCTTAATTACTATAAAGTTAGACCCACACAAAAAACAGGCATTTAGTTAATATTCAAATCTCTGCATACGGCGATTCCAATGACAACGATAGTGTGGTAAATGTATCTCTGAAGAGTAACTGAATGTCAATTTGTGCGTGTGTGTGTGTGTGTTTGGCTTCAGAGAAACTGAGGAAATAAGTAGAATATATGCGACGCAAGAAGATACATTTAGCTGTTGCATCTGAATTTGTAGCATGCAGAGTTGTTAATGTTACTTTAATGCATGGTTGTGTGTGTTTAGCTTCAGAGAAACTGAGGAAGTAAGTGGAAGACATGCGATGCAAGAAAATACCACTTGTGACAAAATTTTTTAAATCCACTTCCTTTCATGTTTATCTATAAACGTTTGATTATTTTTGAGTATGTACAGTATAGGTTTGCATAGACACGCACATACACATATTTATATAACCAGTTTACGTACAATCGATTTGAAGACCAACTATTTTTGAATTTAGATTTAAAGCCACTATCATCGTTTCTTTAATTGATTATCATTTTAATATTTAAACGGCTCTGCAAGATTGTGAGACAAAACACCAAGTACTTTACAATCCCTGAATAAGTCTTGGCTGGTCTTTAATTATGTGATATTCACCGAGCATTTCCGTCTGTGTTACTTGGTTGGGATGTTTATAGATAAAATGGGTAATTCATCACCCATTGCTAGCCCTTCTATATCTACTGAACTACAGAGTGTTGAGTACGTTATATTAAAACGATTTTGAATAAGCAAATCAGTAAGTTGCATGAAGCCACAGCCGAACGAAGGAACGAAATGTATTAGAACTATATTATGACACTGGGGTTATGTAGGTAGCGTGATGCCACCGAAAATTGATCGATTTTGAGACGATAATATAACGGTTCTTTCAAACGCAAAATATTATATACTCAGACCATAAAGATTTGTTCAGATCGGGGATTGAGATTTTCCAAGACGGGGATATTTCTTATACTCCATGCCATTAGAAAACAGAAGAATATAGATCAACTTATGAGCCCTGCAACAAGTCGTACCCAAGCCGTGGTGAGTAAAGTGCGGATTCTTGTGACAGGTGAAAATTCACAAAATAAAAGCCAGAGACAATAACCGTCCACGTGTCCTAGGCTGCTCTTATGTGTGCAGAACTGAACTATTGAACCTAACATTGCTTATTTGTTGTGTATACTAATGTCTAACATGTGCACAGCAATATCTTATTACTTTCAACATGAAAAGCAAGCTTTTGTTTTTCAGGCATAACAACCGAAAATTATTTTTCGTTTGTTTACTTTGCGGATGAACTTAGTCAAGTAAAAAATAAATAATATTGTTGCGTCAGCGAGGTCACGTGACTAGTGTCACACCACGTTTTCTAGAAATATCCTGTTCCTTCGTGAACGCCCTAACATTTACTAGATTGGGGGTTGTCTGGTATATATAAGATGGTCACAACGTGACGGGAACAGTGTAATGAATAATTTAATGTATGCGGACAAAATATTGTTGGCCTCGTGAGACGTGAGATATAGCGTTTGTTATAGAGCGACTGTTGAAATTAAGTGTATCGTAAAGTTGTATTCGGAAAGAATAAACCAGTTTT